AACCCCTTAACCCTAAACCCTATAGACCCTAAACCCTAAAACCCTAAACCCTATAGACCCTAAACCCTAAACCCTAAACCCTAAAACCCTAAACCCTATAGACCCTAAACCCCTTAACCCTAAATGGAAGTGTCAAAAAATTAGGGGCACCTTATTTTGGGGTCCTTATAATAGGGATCCTATAAATTAGGGTACTATATTAGGGTCCCCTATTTTCGGAAACCCCCAAATGGAAGTGTCAGACGACCCAGGGCCAGCTGTCGGGAACTCTAGGAGCTTCGACAACTCGGACCCCGTCCTTCTGCGGTTTATAGGGGCCCAAATCATTGCCAATACTGTTTTGGGTGTTCCTTATGCATATCTAGATCTATATCTATATCTATCTCTATATCTATATAAAAAGATATATATATATATATATATATCGTAACAAATTAAGGTAGAACTTACCGCAACACCCTCTTCCAAGTATCAAGGCCCCAATGTTACTCCCAAGAACTACCGGCGGTTACCTGGCCACTTGTTCTCGCTGTGCTCCCCTTCACCTAGGCCGCAAAGAGAACTTGTTAACTGCCCAGAGGCCCCACAGCAGTTCCTTTTTTGGGGCCATATTTAGAACTTTATAAGGCAATCCCAGAAAGGAGCTACTATGGGGCCGCTGGGTAAGCTACAGGACTCTACCCCTTGACGCCCTGGACCCACAAATTCCTGAACCTAGCACTGAACTCTAAACCGTGCAGTATTGTTTGCAGATCTTGCTTGGCTTTGTCCCGAGTGTGAGTGTCAAAAAGCCGTTAAATCGCCCTGCCCAAAACCCTGCACCCACACCAGGCGGCAATGACCAAAGCTGGAGCAGTTCGGCCCCTCGTTGCGCTCTTAAGCACGAGAACGTCACCTTCCAGCCAGGAGTACTTTGGGGTTTTCGGGTTGTGAGTTGGTTTAGGGCTTTGTGTTGAGTGGGATTCGGATCCCTAAACCCTAAACCCTAAACCCTAAATTCGGATTGGGGGGTCTTGAGCTATAGTTCAGGCTTTAGCCTGTTACGTTTCCTGTTGCACAACTCTTACAGACCCTTAAGCCCAAAGCCGAAACGCTGAGCTCAGGTAGGTAGTATTCTAACTTGGGGTCCAATTTAGGGTCCTGTTTCTAAGAGTGCCGTTACTATACAGTAGGGGGCCTAATTTCGAGAACTACCCATGTACAGGAGCTTGCCATTGCTGTCTTAGAGCAGCTTGCCAGTCGCCGGGCGGCTCGAGCAAACATCGTCGAGGCCTGCGGCCTGCGCTGTGCTGGGGATCTCTGGAGCGTTTGTTTGCGGAGCTTCTAGGATTTTATAGGGATTCGAACTATACTTACTTTACAAGATTTTATGGAGGTTCTATACTTGTATAGGGGTTCTATACAAGGGTTTCTAAAACCAGCTCTGTAAGCGAAGGGATGGTGTTTCTCACTGGGTGTCTTACGTCAAGGACCAGTGCTGGACCCTTTCCTTTTTTGAGGTGTCCTTACATCCCCTGTATCGGCACCAAAACCTTAATTTTCCGTAGGGGTGCTAAGCGCCATGGTGAACCTTGCCACGAGAGATGAACCCCAAACCCTCATCCTCACGAGGCGAGGGAAAAGGGCCGATAGCCAGGGGAACCACAGACCCTTAGCCCTAGACCCTAAACCCTAAACCCCTAAAGCAGCCCCAAACCCAAAACCCTAAACCATAAAACCAACCCCAAACCCCTAAAGCAGCCCCAAACCCAAAACCCTAAACCATAAGACCCCTAAGCCCCAAGCCCTACATGAACCCATCACAAGGCCAGCGCTGCTCTTCCTCTTGTCCATCTGCTCATCGGGGGCAACATGGCCACGAAGGATTTTGCTGCAGGACATGGCAGGGTCTTCCTTTTCTTTTAGGGGGGTTAGGCTTTGGCTGTTTTTGTTGCGGGGAGGGGGGGGGGGGGGGGGNNGGGTTTAGGGTTTAGGCTTGGGTTTTTTTGTTGGGGGGCGGGGGGAGGGGGTTGGGGCCTCCGGGGTGTCGGGTGGTGTTGGGGGCCATGTTTTTTTTAGAATCCTATGGGCTGCTGCTGTTATGGCTGCTTAAGGTGTCGCATATGAGAGGAATGCCAGAGTCGTTTTTCGTTTTTCAAGGGACCTATATGCAATCCCTGCCCGAAAACCGAAACGTTAAAGCCAACCTTTGGGCATTTAAGACAACTCACTGTGAGCTATTCTGTGAGGAGTGCTCGCGCGGCTAGCTGAAGACTCAGCCAGCCATGAAGCCATCCGCAAGGCCGCGATCAAGTCATTCCCGGAGCTGGGGCATGCTCCAAACCTTAAGCCTGAGGTTCTCAGCTTTGGTGGTTTGTGCTGTCGGGCACATTTCCGTATATCGGTCGCACGAGGCTTTGTGGTGAAACCGCCAAGGGACAAATTATCACAAACTTCTAGATAGGCTGAAGGCTGGAAAAGGGCTTAGCGGTTGCAGCGTAGTGCAGCCCTATATCGTTGAAGTTTCGGACCCCTACCTGAAACACTGCACCCCATACTTTCATAAATCCTGAATCTTACAGCCCCGAAGCCCCAAACCCTTTAATCGAACCAGTACGGGAACCCCTAGTATCCTTATAGTATTCTGGTGACCTTACAGTAACCCTTGTAGTACCCGCATGATAATCCTAGAGCGCTCTCATGACAAACCCTTCAGTTTCGAGATACTATAGGTACTATAGGGGCCTAAATAAT